GGRRGKWKYCCYKSCMWKGRMWGGRGTGRWMTKKARKGWYCTTYMAACCCAAACCATTCTKATTCCGTGATTCCATGATTCTGTGAYGGGTCTGATCCATTTAGAACTCCCTCCTGGGCACCCTGCACCCTCTCCACTGCCAAAACCCACCCCAAAACACCTCCCCACAAACATCTCAGGCTGATGTTTGCAAATCTGATTTTGCTGTTTGGATCATGAGTTAATTTGTTCCTAATTCAGGATACTAAGTTCTTAATTGGGTTTGTGCTAGAACTTTCCACTTCCACAAAGTGGTATTGATTTGCTTCTTCCAAAAATAATTTTCTAAATTATAGGCAGTGATTAAATACAAGAAAAAGATGACACAATGGTTAATTGCAGATGAATGTTTTGTGCTGTCTGTCTGTTTGTGGTGTGTGTGTCGCTCAGGGGTGCACTGGGATGCTTTGGGGTGTGCTGTAAGGACAGGAACAGGTCCCTGTGTTGATTCCTGACAAGCTTGGAGKGCTCCCATTAAACCATCAACTGCTGGGCTGCTGCAGCCCTGTATTGCAGCCTCAGTGCTTGTTCTCAATGTGGGTTTGCTCCATACTGAGCAGCCTTAAATTACAGTTCTTTGTACTCAGAGCCAGCCCAGGGACAGCTGAGGAGCTCCTTCCCATCCCCAGACCTTCCCAGTGGGGTCAGGAGCTGGGCATGGCCCTACAGGAGATTCTGCCACGAGAATTTTAACTGGAATCAGGATCCTCCTCTGGACCTGCTTGGTCCTCACCCTGTAGACGATGGGGGTGAGGGCAGTGGGTGCCAGGATGTAGATGTTGCCCGTGGTGATGTGGACCAATGGAGGCAGGCCCTTCCCAGTCCTGTGCAGAACCCCAGATTCTGGAATCCCTGAGGGTGGAAAAGCCCTCCCAGCCCATGGAGTCCCAGTTGTGCCCAATGCCCACCTTGTCCCCAGCCCAGAGCACTCAGTGCCACCTCCAGCCCTTCCTGGGACACCTCCAGGGATGGGGACTCCAAAGCTCCCTGGGCAGCCCCTGCCAAGGCCTGAGCACCCTTTCCATGGGCAAATTCCTCCTGGTGTCCACCCTGAACTTCCCCAGGCACAGCTTGAGGGTGTTTCCTCTCATCCTGCTTTTAACACAGAATCACAAAATGGTTTGGTTTGGGAGGGTCCTCAAAGCCCATCCAGCCCACCCCAGCCACGGCAGGGACACCTCCCACTGTCCCAGGCTGCTCCCAGCCCCAATGTCCAGCCTGGCCTTGGGCACTCAAAGGGATCCAGGGACAGCCACAGCTTCTCTGGGCACCCTGTGCCAGGGCCTGCCCACCCTCCCAGGGAACAATTCCTGCCCAATATCCCATCTGGCCCTGCCCTCTGGCACTGGGAAGCCATTCCCTGGCTCCTGTCCCTCCAGCCCTTGTTCCTAGTCCCTCTCCAGCTCTCCTGGAGCCCCTTTAGGCCCTGGAACACTCCAGCCCCAGGGCTGAGCCCCATCCAAGGTGTGAGCAGGCAGCTGGAGCTCCCACAGCCGTGGACAATGGGAGCATCCCACTGTCCAACTCTGTACCCCTTCACTCACCCTCTGTGTGTGAAATTTATCCCATTATCAAAAAAATAAAAGCCAAAATTCCATTTCTGATTATGAATAAGAAGGCTTGAACTATGGTGAGGTGGAGTGGAAGGAGATGAGMTTTAAGGTCCCTTCCATCCCAAACCGTTCKGTGATTCCSTGATGGTTCTAGGAATCCTTTGACTGATTTCTTGGTCTATGCTCTTTTTTCCCAAACCTTTTGGGTATTTTTCTTTTATCCTTGTCTCCTGGTATTTATCMCCCCTCTTTCTCTGTATCTCTCACTCTCTCTCCATCTAAATCTACTATACACTTACCTGCAAATAGGCAGATATAAAATCTGYCTTGGTATGAATCAGGGAGCAGCACGGGGGCAGCTGGGGCAGATGAGCACCAGGGCTGGACCMCTTGACTTTCCAGAATGCCAAATTTTCACAGAGCAAAGTAAAATCTTGGCAATTTTCTGAGTACACAATTTTTGCTATTTTTTTTTCTCCATCTACTGCCCCAAATCTCCCTTCCTGCTCATTTTTGCACTGTGCTATTCTTTTCAGAGAAGACACAGAAAAGCCTGTAGGATTCCTGTGGTGCTCACACTCCCTGAAGGAGAAAGACATGAGCTGTGAGTCCCTGGGGGAGCCCCACGGGGTTTGTGGCTGGTTAAATGCAGCTTCCCAGCCCTCTGAGCAGTGTGAGCTGGCAGGGCTGGCCCTGGTCCCCTCCCTGTGCCCTCTGCTGTCACCCGGGTAAGTACAGGACTGCCTGAAGGAGACAGGGATGTCACTCCTCTGAACAGGCAATTTCTGTGGGGGCTTAATTCAAAGCAGAATTTACAGAAGTCTCTGGCAGAAGCAGCAAACAGTGAGTGAGGAAAGTGCTGGGAGCAAATCGCTGTGCTAAATATTCCTTTTGATTCCATATCCACAGGTGGGCTTGGGGCATGGGGGGTGGATCTGGGTGATCTTTATGGGCCCTTCAAACATTTCTGTATTGACTCTGTGATGATGAAAAGGCACCCTAAAAGCCCACTTTGGTCAATAATTACAAATTCCCCTTATTCTCTCTCTCCAGTGGTTCATGAATTAGTGTTGGCTGCCCCAACCCTGGAAATTTCCAAGGCCASGTTGGATGGGGCTTGGAACAAGCTGGGGTAGTGGGACGTGACCCTGCCCTGGCAAGGGCTATAATGGGATGTGCTTTAAGGTCTCTTGCATCCCAAACCAGTCTGGGATTCTGTGATGAGTCTAAGACAAATTGTAATCAATCTGTGCTCCTCAGTTACGCACAAAGTGTTCATTGCCAGATGATCAGACCCCACGTTTTCCCTGGTCAGCCGTGGTGAGGGCAGAGCTGAGCTGCTGTCACTGTCAGCTCAGAGTTTTTAACAGGCACTGAGTGTATCTGTGTTTGCAGAGAGCCTGTTTGGAATATTGCCCTGGAAATCCCCCCCTGCCTGTCCCCAGCTCCTTTTGCCAAGCCCTGCAGCTCCTGCCCTGGGCTGAGGCTGCTCCGGAGAGACAGCGGCTGCCAGGACCCTCAGAGACACACCGGGAATTTGCTGGTGAGTTTTCAACGGCCCCAGGGCAGATGAAACATCATTTCACCTTCAGTRTCCAGTATCYCTCAGGKYAGGAGAGTCCTGGAGGGGCTGGAGCGTGTCCAGGGCAGGGAGCGGAGCTGGGAAGGGGCTGGAGCCCCAGGAGYGGCTGAGGGAGCTGGGAAAGGGGCTCAGCCTGGAGCAAAGGAGGCTCCGGGGGGACCTTCCCAGGGAACAAAGGATGGGACAAATGGAAATGGCTTTAAGCTGTGCCTTGGGAGGCTCAGGGTGGACACCAGGAGGAATTTCCCCRTGGAAAGGGTGCTCAGGCCTTGGCAGGGGCTGCCCAGGGAGCTTTGGAGTCCCCATCCCTGGAGGTGTCCCAGGAAGGGCTGGAGGTGGCACTGAGTGCTCTGGGCTGGGGATAAGGTGGGCATTGGGCACATCTGGCRCTGCATGGGCTGCATTTTCCAACTTCAGGGATTCTGTGGTCCTGTTTTCTGTCTTATTTGAGTCTCCGAATTTCTTCCTTTCCATTTAGTCTYGTTGGAGCTGAGAAGCACAAAAGGCGTTTTCCTTCCCTCAGGTCTGGTTTGGATAATTGACCTGCAGGTCTGGTTGGTAAAACTCCCTAAAACATCACAGCCTTTGCCAAACTGAAAGCAAAGGGAAAGGAATCWATACAGACTCACACACAACGGGGCTGATCTGATTGATGGGATTGTCTTGAATGAGTGCAGCTGCTCAGGGTGTTTTGGCTCCCAGAGCCTGCCCTCCCCACCMTGTGGCAGCTGGGGTGTCTCATAGCAGGGTTTTTATTCCAAGACGCTTTAAATTCCAGACCCCTGGACCATCGGAGCAGTGAGATGTCCTCCTCCAACAGGACTGGGTCGAGCCCCCTGAGCTTCACCCTGAYGGGCATTCCTGGGGTGCCGGTGAGCGGCTGGTGGGTGGCAGTGCCCCTGTGCTGCCTGTACGTGCTCATGCTGCTGGGGAACTGCAGCCTGCTCTGGACCCTGAGGAGCGAGCCCRCCCTGCACAGCCCCATGTGCTGCCTGCTGTCCCTGCTGGCGCTGGCAGACCTGGGGCTGTCCCTGTGCACGCTGCCCACCGTGCTGCCCGTGTTCTGCGTGCCCGCCCTCTCGCTGCCTTTCCGGGCSTGCCTTGCCCAGATGTACTTCATCCACACCTTCTCGGCCATCGAGTCTGGGGTGCTGGTGGCCATGGCCTTCGACCGCTTYGTGGCCATCTGCCACCCGCTGCGCTACGGCTCCGTGCTGAGCAGCTCCYTGGTGGCCAGGGCAGGGGTGCTGATCGTGCTGCGGGCTGTCAGCATGGTGCTGCCCGYGGCCATCCTCATGGCAGGGATGCCTTTCTGCCGCTCCCGTGTGCTGTCCCACTCCTTCTGCCTGCACCAGGACATGCTGAGGCTGGCCTGTGGGGACGTCCGGYCCAGCAGCTGGTACGGGCTGAGCACCGTGATCCTCACCAAGGGCCTGGACTTGCTGGCCATCATCCTGTCCTACATGCTCATCCTCAGGACCATCCTAGGCACCGTGTCCCCGGAGGCGCGAGCCAAAGCCTTCAGCACCTGCATTTCCCACCTCTGTGCCGTCCTCATTTTCTACATCCCCCTCATCAGCCTCTCCGTCATCCACAGGTTTGGGAGGCACCTGCCCCCCCTCACCCACACGCTCCTGGCTGATGTCTACCTGCTGGTCCCCCCTGTCCTGAATCCCCTCGTGTACAGCTGGAAAACAAAGCAGATCCGCAGGAGGATCCTCATCCTGCTCTGCCACAGAGGGACCCAGCAGCTGGCTTAGGTCCAGAGTGCCCCAGTGCCAGTCTACTCCTGTTCCTCTCCAGACTGGAGTCCCACAGTGGCAATTCCCTGATGCCAGTCTGCTCCTGTTCCTCTCCAGACTGGAGTCCCACAGTGGCAATTCCCTGATGCCAGTCTGCTCCTGTTCCTCTCCAGACTGGAGTCCCACAGTGGCAATTCCCTGATGCCAGTCTACTCCTGTTCCTCTCCAGACTGGAGTCCCACAGTGGCAATTCCCTGATGCCAGTCTGCTCCTGTTCCTCTCCAGACTGGAGTCCCACAGTGGCAATTCCCTGATGCCAGTCTACTCCTGTTCCTCTCCAGACTGGAGTCCCACAGTGGCAATTCCCTGATGCCAGTCTGCTCCTGTTCCTCTCCAGACTGGAGTCCCACAGTGGCAATTCCCTGATGCCAGTCTGCTCCTGTTCCTCTCCAGACTGGAGTCCCACAGTGGCAGTTCCCTGATGCCAGTCTGCTCCTGTTCCTCTCCAGACTGGTTGCTCATGGGCAATATCCTCTCCAGGAGAAAACGCCTCCTGCTCCTTCCCATCCATGTCACCTCTCTGCAGCACAGCACAGCTCTGCTCCTCCCCATGGAGTGATGGGTTATGGCAATCCACACTATCCGTCTCCCATTCTGGGGTGCCCCGCTCTCTGACAGGGCAAAACTGCCCTCCCTGCAGGTGGGGGAGAAAAGGCTGCTGGGAGCAGGTTTTCATTGGAATTCACTGCTAAAAGGGGAACTGGTCTCTGCAGAAATATGGACAGTGTTACCGGCCTTGTAATTGTATTTGCAATATCCCTGTTCAGTCCAGGATATGAAACTCTCAGTTCCCAGAGCTGTGTGATCATCTGAGACTCAGCTTCCATTGTACAACCAGTGTGAGTCACATCTTTGCAGTTACGGAGACAGGAACTGGTGGCCTGTGGACTCAAACYCAGAAATCCGACTGAGGTCTCCTTCAAGGGTCTGCAAGGGCAGTGTGTGGCTTTTCCTGTCTCACAATATCATCTAACACTTTTGGGGACATCAGAAAAATCTCTCCCACCTCCCAGGTTATGAGGACAGGCTGCTCTGAGCAGAGCTCCAGGGTGCCCTGGGTGTGCAGTGCCATCCAAAGGCATCGTGTGATGTATGGGGCTGTTGTGCCTGACCACGCTCCCTTAGGCATACTCGAGATGCATTAGGGACATGTTTCATACCTGGGCTGCTGAGCCRCCCCTCTCAGAGCATCCAGTGCTCACCGAGGAGCCTCCACCCCATCCCAAGGTAATCCCTCCTGATTAACCACACCTGGAATTGTGTAAAATAATCCTCCCTGCAAGGAAAATCCCTGTGATTTTGTCCTGCCTGCAGGGGCAAGCCAGGCCCTTTCCTCCTTTCTGCCTCCACAGCAGTGCCTTGAGCCTTTCCTTGGGCTGGTCTCCTACTCTGGGTTATCTGAGCCAACCCCGCTCCTCATCCGAGTAGCAGAATGGAYCAGGAGGAGAAAGAGAAAGGGAAACCACAGAATCCCAGATTGGTTTGGGTTGGGAGACACCTTAAAGCCCATCCAGTGCCACCCCTGCCATGGCAGGGACACCTCCCACTGTCCCAGGCTGCTCCCAGCCCCAATGTCCAGCCTGGCCTTGGRCACTCAAAGGGATCCAGGRRCAGCCACAGCTTCTCTGGGCACCCTGTGCCAGGGCCTGCCCACCCTCAGCACCCCCAGCTGTCTCTGGCTCCAGAGGGGCTCCAGC